GATGTATGCGGTGGGGGGTACCCACCCACCTCCCCGTCAGCAAGGAGGAGCCCACGGGCACCCGCTCCACTGCAGCTGGGGGAGGGCGACTAAAACAGCTCTCTCCCTGGGACAAGGCTGTGTCAGAAACATGAACTTGCGCCGGTGAAGGCAACCGCAGACACTGGCTGAGGGCGCTGCCCTGTGTGGTGGGCAGGAGTGACGGGTGCTGGGGGGAGCGGAGGGACACAGGGGGTGAGCAGGAGCAAAGGAGAGAATCAGCCATGGCCCAGACCGTGCTGCGGGTGTGCAACCCCACAGTTACTTGTCTTTTCCATCTGCAAAGAAAAAGAAACGAGAATTGCCCAGCCACCTCCTCCCAGGGGCCCTGGGGTGAGCTGGGAGCACCGGGGGAGTTTCTGCACTGGGGGACAGGGACAGAGGGAAGTGGCCAGTGGAGGGGAGACCCCCAATCCCACTCACCTCTCTGCTCCTCCGAGTCACTCTCCGCCTCCTCTGAGGAACCTGCTGCAGTTGCAAGAACACCCCACATCAGCTTACACCAGCAACCACGTTAGCTGCGGTCCTCCTCCCCTCCCGGTGCTGTCACCCCCAGACTAGGCTGGTTATGCACTAAGGGAGATGCCTCTTGCAACCTCGCATGGCCCAGGGCACAGCACAACCTGCACATGGGCACCCCGAAAACCATCCTTCACCTGCCCGGGGCTCTTGCTGCTTTAACCACGGGGTGGCTGGGACGATGCCCCTCCAGCCCTGGGCACCAAGATGGCATTGCCCCAGCACACTCGGGCTACAAACCCACCTGTGCCAGGTGACTGGTATCCATCACAGCCGATCTTTGGTCTCTTCTCGCTGTAGCGGGCGCAGAGGCGGGCACTGCCTGCCTGGTTACAGCACCAGTCATACAACTTCAGCTCCTGGTCTGGAGGCAAAAAGGAGTAAGGGGCTGGAGGGGAGAGGCAAGGGAGATAGCCTGGCTCCGGGCAGGCAGGGCTCTCGCCTAGGCTTTTGGCAGGTCCACACTCCCTCCAAGGGCAACAGCATGTCAGGAAACAGGTTGGCACATAGTTTAAAATGATTTACAGTCTGCAGCGATGCCAGGGCGGACTGTGCTTACCACGGTAGGGGGACGCCTGCCTGGAGAACCTCCAGTACCTCTCCTGCCGCCCCTCGATGAGCTGGCCCCGGCTGTCGTACAGGCAGCGGACCCCGGCGCCGTGCTTGTTGGGAGAGGCGGAGTGCAGCATGGAGACGCGGGCAGCCCACCAGCCTGCAACGGGGCGGCAGTGAGCCTCGGCGCAGCTCTCCCCAGCCAGCATCCCTGTCCTGGGCCAGCTCTTCCCGGCCAGCATCCCTACCCCAGGGGCTGGGGCTGGCTCCTTGTTATCCATCACTCCCACCCGTGCATCACCCACAGTGCTACAGGGGTTGGAGGGACCCACAGAGGCCGTCCAAGTGGTTCCCCAGAGTGAGACCCTGTTGCTGGAGAAGGTCCATCCCTGCTGCCCCAGCGTAGACCAGCTCTGCCCAGTCTAACAAGACAAGGACAGGTCAACCCTTGTTACTCCTCATTTTCCCTGTCTCTGCATTCCCTCCCATTTTCCTTGGGGTCCCCTGCCCCTGCAGCCACGCTTGCAGGGGAGATGGGGAGGGACAACTTGGGGACAAGGAAGGTGGGAAAGCAGTGTATCCACTTGCCTCCATGGCTGCTCTTGAAGCGCGGGTCCTGCTGCCCTTGCTGCAGGGAGCAGGGGCAGGGAGGGAGGGCCCGCGCGGCGCCGCCTGCCTCCCCGTCCAAGCCAGGCACTTCAGCCGGTAGTTGATACCCACGCGGCTCTCCAGCTTGTACATCCACAGCCCGCGGAGGTCTGAGGAGGGAGAGAAGCCGTGAGCTGTCACCTCCGGCCAAGGGGACAGCAGTGGCAGTTGTGGCTTGAGGCGAGAGCTGAGTGATGCTGATGATGGAAGCTAATCCTGCGTTCACCCCCAGCTGTGGGACCCCATGCTGAACAGCCATCCAAGAGCAGGGAAAACACGGGGAGAGGCTCTTGCCGAAGAAAAAAGGCTTGGATAGAGCCAATGCAACAAAAAAGGTGCATGAACATATCAAGGACTTTCCAGCCTCAGGACGTAGCTGGTACCCAGAGGAAGAATTTTATATGCTTGGGGGGAAAGCCTGGCCTCAGTGAGCTCAGCAGCGGCAGGCTGGATTTCATCCCCTGGGAACACCCCCAGCCC